GTCCCCCATAATTCTTTTTTTTTTTTTTTTTTGAGGCAGGATCTCACTCTGTTACCCAAGCTGGAGTGTAGCCTTAAACTCAGCTCAAGCGGTCCTCCTGCCTCAGCCTCCCAAGTAGCTAGGTCTCCTGGAGTGAGCTACTGCACCTGGCCCATAACCACTACTATTATTTTTGTTTACATTCATCCTTTTTTGTTTTTTTACCCACACATATATGTATTTTTACAAAACAAAGGGATCACACTGGTTTGTGACCTGTCGTTTTGCCACTTGGCATAAATGCTGCCCCACTTATTCAGAAAGGATGTGCCAGTGTATCCTTCTAATGGCAGATATGAGTGTATCTCCAGCCTCCTTTAGCACTACTATCCTTCCTTTTTTGTTCTTTGCCAATTTAAAAGCAATAAATTGTTGGTTTTTGTTTGTTTTTTTGAGACGGAGTCTCACTCTGTTGCTCAGGCTGGAGTGCAATGGCATAATCTTGGCTCACTGCAACCTCCGCCTCCCAGGTTCAAGCAGTTCTCCTGCCTAAGCCTCCTGAGTAGCTGGGACTACAGGCGTGAGCCACCACACCCAGCTAATTTTTGTATTTTTAGTAGAGACCGGGTTTCATCACATTGGCCAGGCTGATCTCGAACTCCTGACCTCAAGTGATTTGCCCGCCTTGGTCTCCCAAAGTGTTGGGATTACAGGCATGAGCCACTGTGCCCTGCCTAATTGTTTTAATTTGTATTGCTTCAGTTACATTATTTAATGTAATTTAATGTTAAAAATATTACAGTGCTAAAGGAGGCTGGAGATACACTCTTATATCTGCCATTAGAAGGATACACTGGCACATCCTTTCCAAACATTTGTTCAACATTTTTAACATTAAATTACATTATTTAATATTAACATTTTTAAACATTTATTTTCATGTTAATCACTTCCTTTGAATTTCACCTTTCTTTTACATTAGTCACATATAAAGCAGTCAGCTAAGTTATATGCACTTTCTGCTGCAAATTGGATGATAAATGGATGGGCAGAAGGTGGAACCAGCAGAGGGAACAGGGGTGTTTACAGTTCTGCAGAATGGTCATGTTGTTTCCTTATCTTTTATCAAACATTACAAAAAGAATACACGCTCATTTTAAGAAAAAAAATCAAATATTTCAAAAGGGTATATGAATATGATGAAAGCTCACCTCAACACTCTCCTTCCCTCACTTACCAGTTCCTATTCCCCAGTGTCACCATCTTCAGCCTTTTCCTCCCACATCCTTATTGTCTTCCCAGGACTTGCTTCACTGGCCATGAATTTGGAGGAGCAATCAGGAGAAAGGGTTAGGGATCTGAAAAGGAATAGCTTCTTCATACAAAGCTCCCAGGGCTTGCTGCAGGGTGGTCATTGGGAAGGGAAGCAGAAGAGAGAAACCACACCAGGTGTTTGTCTGGAATCAAATGGGCAGGTGAACAGAGAGTCAGCTAAGATTACCCTGTCTGCCTCAATTACAGTCCACAAGAAAAATGGCAGGCCGTTTGTTGCAGCACATGAGCAGTGTCCTTTGTTAAGTCCTGTCCCTTGAGTATAACCTGTTTCCTTTACAAAAAAGTGGAAAAGAAAGCCTAAGAAAAGTTTTGCTTTTGCTTTTCCAGCACGAACCCTTCTCCTCACTTGGCAGGTCCTTGTGGAGCCCTATACCCACCTTTATCCATCTTGCTTCCAGACAGTGGTTTGAAATAACATCCATTGCCTGCAGAGTCATGCCCAATTCTGACTAAAGGAATGTCATCAATGTCATGCTTAAAGCAGATGCCAAGACTTGAGTAGAATTTGTGGTGTGTGAAAGGGGATCTACTCCTTGTTATCAGGAAATCTTTTGGAGGAAAAATGATCTAATTGTTCAAATTCTTAGTGTTAAGAAAATGGCTGTTATGAAGGAGAGAGCCCATCACCAAACTGATCTAAAGCCTTTGGGAAAAAAAAATTATTTTTACTCTTCTCTTTGAGAGATACATATGGAATGAGACAGGTCATTTTAGAACCAGTGGGTCACCAGCCTCCTATTAACTAAAAGAAAGACATGAGGTGGAGATATTCCTCATTTTCTTGAGAAATTCTGCCTTTTATTCTTTTCAGCTTTAAAAACTCATCACCTATCCTGCTCCTTCTTGCATCATTTTCCACAAGAAATCCTTTTCTAACATGCAAACTGTTCAAAAAACAAAATTGTATGTGAGAAAGCTTTGTCTTAGACCTAGTCCAAAAGGGCTTCATCAAGCAGTGTCCATTCCAAAAGAGCAAGCTTCATTTTCTGGACCCAGAGGAGGACAGACTTATACGGCAAGGCTCTAGGTGATGGTGGAAATAATGGGATATGTATGGGGGAAAGAGAGGGCTGTGGTATTAGTTCTCTAACCCCATGTAACAAATTACAAATTACCCCAAAACTTATCACCTTAAAATAACAAAAAAATTCTTATTTGACACAGTTTCTGAGGGTCAAGTACCCAGGGGCAGTTTATCTGAGTGGTTTCTGGCTGAAGGTGTCTCATGAGGTTGTAGTCATCTCAAGGCTTGGCTGGAGCTGAAGGATCTGCTTCCTTGTGGTTTTTGGCAGGAGGTCAGGGGCCTCCATAACCTCACCATAGGGTCCCACCATAAACTTTCTCAGTATCCTCCCTACATAGCTTCTCCCAAAGTAAGTGATCCAACAGAACAAGTACCAAGACAAAGCCAGTCTTTTTATAACCTGTTTTTAGAAGTGACTTCCCATTACTTCTGCAGTATTCTGTTCATAAGTAGCAAATCTAGCCCACACTTGAGAGGAAAATTAAGCTCTACCTTTTGAAGGGAGGAGTATAAAATAATCTATGGACAACCTTTTAAAACAACTACATAGGCCAGGCGCGGTGGCTTATGCCTGTAATCCCAGCACTTCGGGAGGCCGAGGCAGGCAGATCAGGAGGTCAGGAGTTCAAGACCAGCCTGGCCAACATGGTGAAACCCTGTCTCTACTAAAAATACAAAAAATTAGCCCGGCATAGTGGCAGGCGTCTGTAATCCCAGCTACTTGGGAGGCTGAGGCAGGAGAATGGCGTGAACCCAGGAGGCGGAGGTTGCAGTGAGCCGAGACTGCACCACTGCACTCCAGCCTGGGCAACAGAGTGAGGCTCTGACTAAAACAAAACAAAAAAACAAAGCAAAACAAAAAAACCCCAACTACATATATGATACAAGTTACCTACACCTAGTCTCCAGTCTGCTCTTTGGTGTACAGCAGAGGTCAGCAAAGAACCAGAAAGTAAATATTTGAGGCATCGTGGGCCAGACTCTGTTGCAACTATTGAACAGTGCCATTGTACTGCAAAATAGCTATAGGCAATCCGTAAATAAATGAGTGTGGCTTTGTTCAGGAACACTTTACACAAACAGGCAGCAGGCTGGATTTGGTCCAGGAGCAGTAGTTTGGCCCTAGAAGTCTAGCATACACAGTGACTTTGGTTCCTTGCTATTACAGTCTTGACAGAAATTCATCTAAGATGTCACGGCTCTCTGATCTCCCACCATCATATGTCAGTCACTGCACCTCAAAATTTAGTGGTGAGATAATAGGAAGACAGAAAAACAAATCTGAGAGATTTAGGTGGAGAAAACCTCAGGACACAGACAGTCCTTATCTTTGGAAATAAGAATGTAAAGGAGAGCTGGCTTGGTCCAACAGGGGGTAAGACTGTGTATTCCACTGAATCACTAAGGTTGAGATAAGGAAAGAAGTCTGAGAGGAGATGTTCTCTAAACAATTGGAACTACAGCAGTGGGATTTTGAATCAACATGTGAATTAGGGGATCCATCTTAATAAGGCTCCTACAGCTCCAAAGAACCATGAATTCACCAAGAGTGAGTGTACAGGAGGAAATCAAGACTTGTGCCTATCAGAGAACAGGGTAGACGTCAGAAGCTTCCCAGAGAGAGGTAGGGAATATATAGGGGACGATGAAACTTCAGAGCTAGATGTGACCTTACACTGTGGGATGGGGGATGAGGGATGGGAGCAACCCCTCAGTTTGCAATATTCATAAATAAACTTAGCATAGGGTTACAACATGCAAGTTCTTAGGCCTAATATTCCATTCCTTGTTCCTGAGGTCTGATTTTGCAAATACTGTATTAACTTCTCAGGGCTGTTTATATTACTTATTATATGATTGAGTCAAGAAGACAGGGCTGGGAATTCCACTTTCCTTCACATGAATTCACTTGCAATGGAAATTTAAAATTGTATAAGGTAGATAATTTCCTGCCTAAATAACATATACATAGCTGATACATCCCACCATTTAAAAAGTTATGTTTTATTTTTCTCAGCCAAAAACCACAGCTACTGGTCACTTTTAAGTTCAATTTAAAGATCAAATCTTATCTCTTTGAGATGTGCTTTGGAAGTGAGTAACACTCTGCTGATAAATTATTTCTCAGAGTGGTTTGTTCTTGTTTTCATGCTACCATATGGCCTACCAGACCATATCCATGTCTGGATAACCGGGTATAATGTCAACACTCTTTTGTTTTGTAAAGCTTTTCTCCATCTTATTATGAATCTAAACAAAAAAGTAAAAAATTAATTTTATTACTGCAGCTTTGCTTGCAAGAAATAGGCAACTTCCTTTGAAATGATTTCATTGAATTTAAACTCATTTATATAAATTCTGAGGTATAGAGTGATGTGAGAACAATGTTTTCTCTATTTAAAGTGATCATACCTGGGAACAGTACAAAGACTTGGAACTTAAGACCTCTAGCTTCTCACCTTGTGATGGAGAGTGTGTAAGTCAAATGCCAAGAGGAAGTCAGGTTGTAGAAATCTGATCCAGTTAGACACCCCACACCTCCAGAGATGCAGGTCAGGAACTCAATGAGTATGGAAAACTGCCATTACCCCGAGCCAAATTTATCTCTGTCGGGTAATGAGCTAACAACCCCATTCTTTCCAAAAACATGTGTGAACTATTCCAGTTTTACTAATAACTTTATTTAAATAAGACACAAGAACTTCTATACTGAAAAAATACAAAACAAAAGCCACACATTTCCTTGTGTAAAGCCATATTGTATGGTAACTCAAATACTGTTCAGCGCAATGGCTAGAATTAAACAGTACAATTATATACAAAATTTAAACAATTCCTGACAAATTTCTACAGCTGGATGTAGGATACATTTGAGCTCAACAACTTCTGGGAAATTTACATGGCAAAGCGTAAGCTTTAACACATTTGGTTCAAAACTTTAATATATGCTAAGAACAAATGTACAACACAATTAATATTTAGTATCTCATGAGAAAATAAAAGCACATCACTATAAATATCGTACATCAGATTTAATCACCAAGAAAGCATATTCAGTCCATTTTTCTGAAATTGATATTGATACTATTGCATTTTATTTGGACAAAAGCAGAGTATAAGATCAACATATTATGTAATGCTAAACCAGATATCAGAAGTTAAATGGAGCTCATATTTATCTTACAGAACTAGTAATTTTCTCCCTTTAACCATAATCTACAAAATAGAGTATTTTCATCAAGGCCTGAGATTATTAGGGTTAAAGGTATCTGCTGCTGAAAAGATTGTTTTAAAAGGTTCCCCTGTGAAAACGACAAAAGTAAACTGAGTCCTTTTTTCCATGACAGTCTCCTACAATATAACACTGACTAATTTAAAGGAGCCAGAATGCACCTTCAGGAGAAAATATTACGGCAAACTTTGGTGGAAAGAAGAGAATTGAGATCATGACAAAATAATACACAGAATACACACGCACACACACAAACATATACATATATATATCATTTCTTAAAAAAAAAATCAATGGTGTTGCTTTCTATAGACTCATCCTTCTTCAACCGTCTTAGAAAATAAGCAAAGAAAAACCCAGGAATGAATGAAGGGAACTGAAACGTTCCTTTAACTGTAGGCACATTGTTCCCCTAATTCTTAAGAAAATTGTGCCATACACTTTAGGTGCAGATGAAACAACTCTAGGTTTTATTGAATTGAAAGTAGTGGAATACAAATACAAAAACTTCACTTTTGGATATTCTTTGTACTGAAGAAAACAATGAAAGTTTGGCTTTCCCACTGACCAATCAGGAATGCCTAGGGCTCTCTTCATACTTTGTGGAGAACTTGCGTCAAAAGTTTGCAAGTTAAAGGCTATTTTCTTGAGTTTCTGCTCTACTTCACATGTCGCAAATTTCAAAACTATTCATGATTATGTATTATGAGAGGCCTAAATGAGATAGCTTCAAACTATTGCTCTTGTAAGTCACCAAAAAACCTGCTTATTTATGTTGCAACAATTCTGAGACCCAAGTATTCTATGTAAAGGAAGATCATGCACCTAAACTGCTTGAGGAAAACAATAACCAAAAGTATGTCACTTTTTCACCTGCAAAATAATTTCCAAGGGAGAAACTAAACATAAATATGTCTTTAGATAAAATGGTAACAGTTATGACCCTGATGGCTAACATAAACAAAAAAAAATCTCAACCATTCAGTCAAACACTTCACTTATTTTGAAATTAACTCTAGACATTCCTGTCTTTAAATTTCATCACAATGCGGAATGTTTATGTACAGTCTAGTACTGAACATTTTATTTGCAACATTGTAACAGTCCTTTACTGAGCAACACCTGAACTTTTAAAAAAGCCACATGTACACATGTTGAAACAGTGAATGCAACAGTTGTTTTACTTGTAACCACATGACATAAGTGATGTCAAACACCACAGATTTTGCTGGTTCTCCTCATGTTCACCCATGTCCAGGATTATCATTCTCCTAGGATTGAATGCACTTCTTATTCTAAGAATGTGGAATGTAATGAGGAAAGGGAAATGCATAAAATAAGGAAAGGCAAAAGAGTGATGTTCCCTCTTTAGCTTTTTAGCTGTGAAATATTTAATATCCCAATATGATATACATTCCAAGTTACCTGAGTTTAGACTTCAACTGAAGTACCTGAAGCTAGGCCATAGGGTGGGCACTGTGCAACTGTTGTGGCCATTTTTTTTTTTTTTTTTTTGCATTGTATGTATTACAGAAGTTAGAAACAAACACCTGGATCAATTGTAAACATAATCCTGAAGTACAGTATTTTCCATAGGACAAAACACAGCAAGACATTTTCTATTTAGACAGGCAACTTTTTGATATAGAGCTTATTTATACTGAAGAATCTGGAACAAAACACAGGACACAGTACTAATCTGTCAAACATACTATGAAATGCATAGTCTCCACTTAAAATGCTGAATGACACACACATTTTGCAAGCATTACTGCTTTCCACAAAAACTGCTGAATAGGAGTTCCGTCCCTGCCAAGATCAGTGTTTAAGAGATACTTTATGATGCTGATAAGTATTGGTGGCGGTGGTGGTGGTGGTGGTGGTGGTGTTCAGAAAGTTTGTCACTCCATGCAGATAGATGTCTGAAATCTTGTTCCTAATCCATGGAACATAGGGTGGAGGCCAGCTCCCCCTTTTTTAGATGATCACATAGTTCTGAGCAGAGATGTGGTCCTCACCCTGCAGTTCCTGCAGAAGCTGCTGCTGCTGGGATGGCTGCTGGGCAGAGGCCTCCATGGAGCCCGCTGTGCTGGTGTCATCAGAAAGAGACGTAAATGAAACCCGGGATGAGAGCTGCTCAACGGTCAGAGCTGCCAAAGCTGAGCTCTGGCCAGAGTTAGGAGAGTTCTTGAGCATAAGGTCAGAAGCAGGTAAGAGGGGGCCTAGAAGTTTTACAGGACAGAAAGCTGATCCGGTTGGGATGAAATTAACCTTGTTTTTGTCAGGACATGAAAAGAGAGGGGCCGAGATAGGCTGACGAGACCTAAAACCATAAAACAAAATTAGATTTATAATCACGAACACAGAACAAGTTAAGCATTTTCTGAATTAACTGGAGTTCTCTAAAACAGCTAAAATGTAAATGGCAGGAGATGGGTTAAGTGTATACAGAGGGATAAACATCTTCCATAGCACAAGTCAGTTGGCAGACTATTCATGCACACAGCATGGAAGTGGTATTTGAGACAAAAGGATTTTCAAAAGAACCAGGAAGACAAATAGAGATCATTAGTTTGCTTTTAATCATTTAGGAAGGTAGAAAAAGTCTGCTATATTATAACTGAAGATTATGTAAAGTTAGAATGACCTTTTCTGTTAAGAAAAAGTACACCGGAGGCAGGGGGCATTAGTCCATCATGTATTTAGTTTTAAACACTTCCTCCTTTTTTCTTTCTAGATAGACCTCCACTAGCACAGATGGGGGGTGGAGTGGGGAGGGGAGAGTTTCAGTGGTCTCTCAAAAAGCCAGTCAGTTCAACAGAGGTTGGGTCCACAAGCCCTTCCTCTCCTCCTGTTCCCAGGAGCTAAGCCATCAGCTCCTGCAAGATGGGTCCTTCCAGATTGCTAGGCACCTGCACTGGTACAAAGGCATGAGTGCATCCAAGAACCACACAGTCTTCTGAGCTACTCTGCCCAGTGTTTACAGCATGAACCTCTTTTTCTAATTTCATTTCTAACTTAGACATATTAAAATTTCATTAAGAAAACCCCTTGTGAACAGAAAGTCTGAATAAGCAAGCTAGATGCGGCTATAGGGCAGCTATAGGGAAGGAGACTAATCTCCTTCCGGCTTGTGGAGTACACTGTCTTTAAGCTAGTCACACATAGATACTAACTTTGCTCCTAAAGTCTCTTTGTTAGCCATCTAAATTAAGAGTTCTCGAAATGACAATTCTTAATGATTAAAAATAGATCTTTCAGGTAGTAAGAATAAGTTTCCAAGTTTCTTTGTATTGGCTTATACATTTCCAGCATACAGACTCCAATTCTCCTTCAGTAAGATCTCTCTTGCCTATTCAATTCTCTTTACATAATTTGCTTTTGAAACACATTATCAGCTGGATAGAGTAGTTGATTCATATGTAATCAACTGGTCTCAGTAAAAAGCTTTACAGCTTTGCAGATCCCAGCTGACAGAAAAGACATTACTTACGCCATTTCCTCAAAGACCTTCACTCGCTCACATCCCTCTGGGGGCTCCCGTTTGAACATGTAGCTGTTGTTTGGTTTGGGAGATGAAGCATACTTGGGTAACGGTGAGCTACTCCCACTGTCTGTAAATTTAAAGCAGTTATATTAACTAGTGATTGAAAGCTCTTTTAAATTAAATTTGATTTCCAAACAAACAGCCTTTTGCACAATTTATCCACTACTGCCCCTATGCTTTGACCACAGTCTCCTTTATTGCAAAGCTATTTCTTATACCCTGTGTAGTACATTTCTTCTAAATAAAAACTTCAATGCAACAGTAATCTGCCATACCACAGAACATAAAAAGAAGGATATTTTGGTCCAGAAAACTGCACTTTGAATACAACAGAGCTGTAATCCTGAAAACAAATATGTTATTTATTATGTATTTCAAGAATGCAACTGACGGGGCAATGTGCTTCAGTCATACAGAAGAATAAAACAGATTATAATGATACAGGGTTCTCTACATGCCTTCTCACTGCCCAACCAATTTAACAAAAATGAGTAATATTCATTACAAAAGTTCTTAGCAGAAAAGTTATTTTTGCTAAATATCATGAATAACACGTACGCAGGGGAAAAAACCAAGCTTTATAAAATGTCTCTTTCTACCTACCCAGCATAAAAAACATAATTTGCTCAGAATTTTACCTTTAAAATGTTTATAATAAAAGGGCTTTTTCAGCAGAATTTATATTTTTGCTATTAGAAGACATGAGAAATCTCCAAACATCTCTACCTAACACGTTTTCCTCATATTTTTGGCCAAAAAGAAAATGGTCTATTCATGAAAAGCCATAAAACCCATAAGCAATTTCTCCCTTTCCTACCTGGCAAGAGATTTTGGAAATTCAAATCCACTAAAATGTGTCATTATTTTTGTAAGATGCCAAGCTGTAAAGTCAGTAACATGTTTGTATACAATAGTCCTATTTAAACAAATTCTGACTTAATGCTAACCAATCCCCACTGCTAAAATACTAAGCACATGATCTATTGAAATGTATTATTTTCATCTATTTGAAAGACAGCACCAGTATCATAATTATGTTCGTCACAATTTTGGTAAGTTGCTTTAGTGTAGAATACAGGACACAGTCCAATATTCAGAAACTGAGTAATAAGAATGTTTTGTCATCATTAATGAAGTTATAATACACACTTAGGAAGAAGGCCCTTGATGCACACTAATACTTGTTAGTCTTGTGAATGCAGATTTATGCTTATATTTCTGGCTGGGAAACCACTGTCTGCAAAATAATAAGGTTACACTATTGGGAAGCTAGAAAACCACACAGTTTCTCTATCATTATTATGCATGATCCTACAGAGTAGGCACCAAACAGCCTCTTGGAAAAAATTAAGTCTCAAGAATGAAATTTGGTTTCTTCATATACTTCATATATTCAGATTTGAGAATTTTCTTAAGTTTAATATTTATCCTATATCTTGCATGAACAAATGGGAGGGAGGAGGAGGAGGAGGAATAGAATTCTCTCTCTTAGCCTGATACAAAGCATAACTAGCCTGATTGGAGGTCTGAATTTGCTGCTCTATTTAAGCTAGGCTAGACAAGACTGGTCCATGATTAAAAAATAAAAATAAAAAATACCTCAAATTTGGTGTAATATAAAAAATATGGCTTGACCTTACCTTACTATGCAAACATCAACAAACCAGGCAAAGGAAATATATGAGATCAAAAATACAAGTTAAGTAGGATAGATACCCCATTCTTCACGATGTGTGTATTTCACACTACATACGTGTATCAAAACATCTCATGTACCCCATAAATATATACGCCTACTATGTATCCACAGAAATTAAAAAAATAAAATTAAAAAAATACAAGTAGATATGGCATGAGATGCCTCCATGGAGATTACCGCTGGACATAACTTAGCCTACAGGGCACAAGCAGCATCAGCCTCAAACCATGGGCTTGATGCCATCAGCAGTCATGTCAGCAGTTAAGGATCCACCCGTTATCACGTAAGGAAAGTCATCTTGGCCACAGTTAGTCTTCTGTGTTCTTTTTCTTACTACATCATCAGGCCTATCACTTTCTTTCTCTCACTATTTTACTGATGGTTTCAAAGGACTTTCTCATAACTGAAGGCTAGATGTGAGTTGGATAATCTATCTGCAAAACTGATTATCTTCCTGTTAATCTAGAATGAAGTAATTTTCTTTTTAAAATATTTCTAATTTCAGAGGCTGTAAGTGAATTTTTTAACAGAGTTTTACCCTCTTAAACATATTCTGCTTTTTATATACTGCTATCCTAGACAGACAGTACTCAGTGTTACTATATCTTTCTGCCTTTTCAATAAAAATTGTTTTTTTAAATTATGTATTTAATATTAGATGGTCTGGAAAGGCAAAGCTTGAAAGAAAAAAATTTTGAGACTATAAACAAATATTTGCTAAATCTGGAGTTTTTCCTTCAGGTTAAGTACGCAATTGGAGAGACTGTAAAGCGGGGTCAGGGAATGCAGACATCTAGTCTGGGGCTTTAGCTCTTGTTGTATAGTTCTATGTTACCTGGAATACAATCACCTCTCCGGATTTCTATATAATTAAAGGAACTGCCATTCATGAACTCTAAAATTCTGTGATTTTTCTTTAATAGTTCTAACATACAAAGATGACATATTTTACATATATATTTTTTCTTGCCTTACAAAGTGGCATGCTTTAAAAACAACCCATATGACCAACCTATGCTACTCATTCCAGACTTGAATGTATAAAATATTACTATTCATTTAAACCTCTGTGTTGAATTTAATAGCCACATTTCAATAACAGAACATTATAAGTATAAATATGCCTGCTCAGGAGATTCAAGATGAGAAGTCTCATGGTAATCTTAATTCGGTCTCTTTTGTTTACCAGTAATGGTAAGTTTTCTCATTCTGGTATCTCAGAGAATAATATAGGATCATAACTAGAAATACAATTGAGATTAGGTTAAATGTTACTTGATTACTTTTAACATCATAGCCAATGTCAATAAAATTAAATACAGTGAATATATTTACATATTTCTATATTCACGTCTCATTTTTATATATAACAATCACTCAACTCTGAAAATCAAGAATATGGAAAAATGTGATTGCTGTTTTATAACAGATCATACATATGCATTTGCACCACATTTACCATTAAAATACAAGTAGCTTATCAAATACTTTTAAACATTCAATGATAATTAATTAAAGCTTAGAAAAATTAGAGAAGTTATTAAAGTTTGGAATTTCATATAGAAACAATATTCATTAAACTACATGTACTTGTAAGCTTGAGTTTTCTGAATTTCTTCTGACTTTTATTATATCTGGTATATTGTGGGGCCCACAATTCTTGTACACAAAATTATACATTTGGTCATACCACTGCACTTCAGCCTGGGTGACAGTGAGACCCCATCTCAAAAAAATATATATCACATATATAAAGGTTGATTCATTTATGCAGGTAGTATGTAAAATCTCTGCCATGGTTCTATTCTAGCCCTAAGTCCATAGATGTGCATTATCTCTATCACACTACTTTATCAAATTAAGTAAAATAAATTGTAAAACAAGCAATAATAGAATAGTGGTTCTAACCAGAGTTTCTTTCACATTAGACTTACCAGTTGTTTTAAAAAGATCAATGTCTAGATCTCATTCCTGAAAGATTCTGATTTAATTAGTCTGGGGAGGAGCCAAGCATTGCCTTGGGGTGGGGAGGTGGGGGTAAAGCTCCCAAGTGCACCTGAAGCACAGCCATATCTGAGAACCAATCACGAAATGGTTAAGAACATTAGTTTGGAGTGAGGCCACCTGACTTCTTCCTAGGCCTAGGTGCATGGCATAGGGTAAGTCTGATCCCTCTGTTTTTTGATCTATAAAATAGATAATACCACTGACATGACAGCTGTGAAAATTAGGATAAGGGCTGGGTGAGGTGGCTCACGCCTGTCACCTCAACATTTTAGGGAGGCTGAGGCGGGAGGATCACTTGAGGCCAGGAGTTTGAGACCACCTGGTCAACATGGTGAAACCCTCTCTACAAAAAAAAAAAAAAAAAAAACCCAAAACCAAAAGACAAAAAAGGATTAGGATAGTGCCTGAAATACAGTAAGCTCTGAATATTATTATTATAATAGTAAAAAGTAACACATCATTTCTAATCTGAAAATTTAAAATGAACCATTCGAAAATTAAGTGCCTATTCTGCTCCCTCTTGACAGAGGAGAGTAAAGGAAATGTTTTTAATAGATTTGTGTACTCTACTCAGGTACAAACAGATAAAATTTTGTTTCTGAGAGAGAAGCAGAATAATATCTGGAGTACTAGGTTGTCCAGGTTTATAACTGCCTGGCATGAACTCTGCCAGTTCAAGATGGCATACTTTAGTGTAAAGAGATCTACCATTCTGAAATTAAAATCAATGCTTAAAAAGCATGCAGATTCTATAGACTACTATGCAAAGAAAATACTTTTATAGTATATGCAGCAATAATCAGTAGAATGTAATTCTTATTCTATCTTTCCCAGGTAATTAACTGACTAGGAAAGTGAGTACACTTTACTCAATGACATACTAAAGCATAAAATTAGCCAAGAGTTAAATTAGAAATATGATTGACTAAATAGTACTTAAACAAAATTACTACTCTAGTGTTAAAATACACTTTTTCTGCTTCAGGAAATGAAATTATCAACTATAATGGGATTTGAAGGCCTAAAGAAATCAGGAGAAACACACAATTGTATATCATTTCTTGGCAATAAACTTTAACAATCAGGTTGTATTACCAATTGTATTAAAAAGCTTGTATTTTCAGTTAACTCCAAGACCAACTTGGAAACTTACAAGTAAGGAGAACAGGCTTTTACAAACAGCCTCTAAGGTTTTTCTAAAATTCCAAGTTAACACCTTGTGAGAATGCTAAAGAATTGTAATGAACAAAGACATCAGTTATACATAAGATCTCCTTTAGATCAGCATTCAGCAGAGAGTAAAGGGGAAAAATGACATGAGAACCTTTTGTTTCTTACACTTAGAAACTTCGTTTCAAATC